TTTTTTGAAAATTTGCCCCCAAAACGACGTCATTTTGGGGGCGACAGGGGAAGGCGGCGGGTGATCCGGATTCTTAATTTTCTGTCTACTATTGATGAAAGGAATAATTTTCTAATATTGGATACATCAAATGTGATGAAGAACCACTGTAGTACTACTTTTAGAAAATGATGATCATTTCAGATCTCGTTGAGGTTGTGACTTTTTTTGTGTTAAAACAAAATTGTTATTGCAATTGTTGAGTTGATTTTAACATTGGCATTGTCTTCCGGTCTTTTAAATAGAGTTGTTTGATTGCGGTTTGGATTGCTGAGACTTCGGAGTTCCATTGAGAGTGGTATTCGAATTTTGAGGACAAAATTTCCTAAGGTTGGGGAGGTTGTGATGCTCGGGTACATAACCCGTCTTGTTTCCTTTTAATCGTATTTATTTTACTCATGTTGGGATTGTCGGGAACTAATCTGAGGCCTCGTCGGCCGCTTAGGTACATCGCTCTTGAAACCTTTCTCAAATTTATATCTTCATTTATTTTGGTTCCGAGGTTGAGTTTCTTTATTTCGAAAGCGTAGTTGGAGTCGAGAAGTCATGGGCTTGTGAAGCGTACAAATCAAAAGAGAGAGCAAAACATCACGTACAGGGGCTTAGTCCACACGCGTAGAAGCGGGGCTGCACATGCGGAAAGTGAGGCCGCATGTGCTATAAGGGTGTTTCTTCGAAGGTTGGGGACTAAAATAATTGCACGAGCGGAAGGCACGTGCTGGAGGCATACCGCACGTGCGGGAGTGGACGTTGCACGTGCGGCAAAGTGGGATGTTCTGGGCAATCCTCTCTAAAATAACCGCACATTGGGAAGGTACACTATGTACGTGTAGGAATAGTACCGCATGTGCAGGAAATACTGAGTCTGAATTTTTTTTTCTTTTCTTTGGATTAAGTGTATCTCACACTTTTTCTCTCCTCTCCCTCTCTAAAGTACATTTCTCTCCCCTATCTCTACATTTATTCTCACCAAACTCTATTCAATCCTTGATTTCTCTCAATCCATTAAGGAGTTGATCCAAGTGCCTTAAGCAAAGTTAGAGAGCTCACCAAGGACTATATTATGTGCAATGGAGATTGGATTTCTACATTGTTGATTTTGGAACTTTTCTCATATTTCCTCTTCAAATCTTGAGATAGGAAGTTTCTTTGAGTTATATATATATATTAGCATGCCTTATTTAGTTTTGTTATGATTTTGAGTAAAGGATTGAGTTTTGGAGTGTTGGGTTTTGGAAAGATGTTGAAAAATGATTCTCTTATGATCTTGGTTCAAATTAAATTATTTTGGTGGGCCTATAAACCTCTTGGGTGTGCATGGAGGAGAAATATTTTGAAAATAAAGGAAAACCCCCTCTTTTTTATTAAACCCTAGATTTTGGGAGGAAAAAAATGGGCAAAATTGGATTTTGTGAGATACCCATGAAATTGTGGAAAATTTCTTTAAGAAAATGATGAAATTATCACATTTTATTATGTTGAGTGAGAAAATTTGGATAGCATGAAATTGTATATACTTGGGGCAAATGAAGATGAAAATTGATTTTGAATATGAATTGGTGTCATAGGATATGATTATTGATATTTAAATTGAGAGCATAGAGAGATGTTGTTGATTTGTATTGCATTAAGGCTCAATGTTGAGAAAAAATATGGAAATTATATAATTGTATTTACATCCATTCATTTGCATAGCTTTGAATATTGATTATTATGACTTTGTTTTGGAAATTGATTTACTATTTTGAGAAAACAATTGATGATCTTAAAAAGGTTTTGGGGGTGAACATGGTGGTAAGTCCGAATATGGGTGTAGTTTGGCATTGTTTAAGTTGGTCTGAGTGTCCAGGGTGAAAGACCTCAACACACATGGAGTAGTTACCACATGTGTTAAGGTCTTTCACCCTGGACACTCAGACCAACTTAAACAATGCCAAACTACACCCATATTCGGACTTACCACATGTGTTCAATTCTTTGGCTAATCTGTTGATTGATATGGGTGTATCGCATTCATTCATATCTACTGCTTTCACTTCTGTCTTGGAGTTAGAGATTGATCAATTAGAGTCTCTCTTGTGAGTTGAGTCGCCGATTAGGGGTAGAGTGGCATTGGGGCGAGTGTGCCACTCTTGCGAGGTTGAGGTCGTTGATCGCCGAATCTCTTTTGATTTTATCATCTTAGATATACACGCTTTTGACATTCTATTGGGTATAGATTGGTTTTCACATTTCTGGGCCACTATAGATTGTCAGCGCCACAAAGTGTCTGTATGCACATCTACCGAGGATTGTTTTTTATTTCCTATGTGATCAAGGTGATAATTCGATTCCGCCATTGTATGACCTTAAGGGTTAGGGAGGACTTAGTTTTTTTTTTGCCCTTTCTTCAGCCAATAAGGGTAGCATGGTTTGAGGTGACTTGCCGAGGGTAGTTTGTGAATACCCGAATATTTTTCCTAAGATCTTACTGGTTTACCACCCTACCGAGATATTGAATTCTCCATCGACTTAGTCCCTGGCACAACACCAATCTCCATGGCCCCATATAGATTAGCACTTGCCGAGTTGCATGAGTTGAAGATTTAACTCCAAAAGCTTTTAAAGAAAGAGCTGTATTTGTGAAGAAGAATAATGGATCATTGAGGTTATGTATTGATTACTACAAATTAAATCGAGTTACTGTTAAAAACAAGTATTCTTTACCCAGAATAGATGATTTATTTTACCAACTTAAGGGGTCACATTGTTTTTCGAAGATAGACTTAAGATCGAGGTACCATCAGTTGAGAGTTAAGGAGGAGGACATCCGGAAAATGGCCTTCGTACACGTTATGGTCATTACGAATTCCTTGTCATGTCATTCGGTTTAACCAATGCACTGGTTTCCTTTCTAGACTTGATGAATCAAGTGTTCAGGAAATATTTAGTCTATTTCATACTTGTATTTGTGGATGATATTTTGATTTATTCACCCTCAGAGGAGGAACACAAGGAACACTTGCAGATAGTACTTGACTTGTTTACGGTGCACAAATTATTTGTTAAATTTGAGAAGTACAAGTTTTGGCTAACAGATATGAAATTTTTAGGCCATGTTGTGTCGGGAGAAGGGGTAACCGTGGATTCCTCTAAGATAGATGTTTGTGTAAGATTGGGAACAACTTAAGAATGCATTTGAAATCTAGAGTTTTCTGGGGTTAGTAAGGTATTATTGCTAGTTTGTGAGGGACTTCTCTAGGTTAGCTACATCGTTGACTAGGTTGAAAAGAAAGGGTGTCAAGTTTGTGTGGAGCGAGGCTTGTAAAAAGTCATTTCAAGAACTTAAGGTTAGGTTGACTACTACACCGGTCTTGATAATTCTGGAAATGGGCTTGGGTTATATATTGTGATGCGTCCCGGGATGGGCTTGGTTGTGTGTTAATGCAAGAGGGAAATGTTGTGGCTTATGGCTCACGTCAATTGAAAAATCACGAGAAGAATTACCTTACCCATGACTTAGAGATAGCTGCGATGATTTTTGCTTTAAAAATTTGGAGACACTATTTGTACGATGAAAAGTTTGATGTTTTCTCTGATCACAAAGCCTAAAATACTTATTCTTCCAAAAAGATTTGAAATTACGCCAACATAGATGGATGGAATTTATGGAGTATTATGATTTTAAGTTACACTATCATCCGGAAAAAGCTAATATTGTGGCCAATGCCTTAAGTCAAAAATCTATGAGTACTATAACAAGTGTAGCCATCTGAGAATGGGATATGTTGGGGCATATTAGTAAGTTTGATTTGCATCTTGGTGAGTCTAGCAAGAGTGCTACTTGTTTACCTTAATTGCACAACCCACCTTGATTAGTAGAGTCATAGAAGCATAACAAGGTGACAGCGAAATGGAGACCATCCGGGAGAAGATCTCCAAGAGGAAAGAAGAGAGGGGTTTGAACGTCTACTCGGATTTGAGTGTGAGGTATTTAGACCGTTTATTTGTGCCAAAGCCTTGTAGAGAGAAGGTACTCCGAGAATTTCATTACTTACGCCTTGTGATACATTCGGGAGATACCAAAATGTACCATGATCTTAGTCCCCAATTTTGGTGCAAGGGTATGAAGTAGGATGTCGTTTTTTTTTTCTTTTTTTCAAAATGCCTTACTTGTCAACAAGTGAAGGCTGAGCACCAAAAACCAGCTGGTTCGTTACAACCCTTGTTTATAGCCGAATGGAAATAAGGGCATATCACAATGCACTTTGTAATTGGGCTCTCGAAAACACAACGAGGTAATGATGTTGTTTGGGTGGTTATTAATAGGTTGACTAAGTCTACGTACTTCATTCCTATGCGCACCAATGACTTGATTGATTATTTGGCGAAGTTGTACATTAGAGACAAAGTTCAACTACATGGGGTACCGGTGACCATTGTTTCAAATAGATATTCTCGTTTTACAGCCCGGTTGTGGCAAAGCCTTCAAGAGGCATTGGGAACTAAATTGACCCTTAACACCGCTTATCACCCTTAGACCAATGGGCAATCTGAGCGCACAATACAAATTTTGGAGGACATGCTTAGAGCTTGTGTCATTGATTTCAAGGGGTCTTAGGAGAAACATCTATCGTTGATTGATTTTTCCTACAACAATAGTTATCAGGCGAGCATTGGGTTGGCACCGTTTAAGACCTTGTATGGCCTACCTTGTAGATCATCAGTTTGTTGGACCAAGGTGGGAGATGCACCAATGTTGGGCCCGGAGTTAGTTTGCGAGACAATCGATAAGGTTGCTCTCATTCGAAAAAGGTTGGCTACGGCTCAAAGTCGACAGAAGTGTTATGATAATAAGAGAGGAGCACCTCTATCCTTTGAGGTCGGTGACCACATATTTCTTAAAATCTCACCGAGACGGAGCTTGGTGAGATTTGGGAAGAGTGGGAAATTGTTTTCAAGATTTATTGGACCTTTTAAGATTTTAGAGCGAATTGAGGAAGTGGCATACCATTTGGCCTTACTGCCGCAATTTTTTAGGGTTCATGATGTGTTCTATGTGTCCATGCTTAGGAAGTACGAATCTGACCCTTCACATGTGCTTGATTGGATCGATTTGAAGGTAGATAAGGACACTTTATATGAAGCGCAACTGGTTCAAGATACCCGACAACAAGTGCTAAAGAGTAAGACCATACCATTAGTGAAGATGTTGCAGAGATACCACGGTATTGAGAAAGCAACTTGAGAGCTTAAGGCGGAAGTCTGCTCCAAATGAATTTGTTTAATAATATTTAGTTGATTTGAGAGTATAGTATCTCTTTATCTTGTTTTGATACTTGAGCATTTTATTGCCAACTATTTGTTATGAAAGCTTATTGTAATTTTGACCAAGGAGGTTCTTGTTGAATCATTGAAATTATCACTTAAATTGCTTGGGATCATGATATTGATTGGCGATTTTGACTGTGACCTCGTTGAAAAAATGATGATCATTTCGGGATATCATTGAGATTGTGACTTTTTGAAGTAAATCTGTAACAATTTAGATTTTTAACTATTTTGTAAAATTTATACTAATATTATTTAGTAAAATTTATATTAATATTATTTAATTATAGTTTAAATAATATAATTATTAAAAGTTTAGAGGTCACAATATAAATAATAATAATAATGGGTGTGGTACTAAAATAAATAATTAATTTTCTATTAGTATACGATAAAATGTAATTTAATTAAGAATAAATTAATTTATAAAATTATATTAAAATACTGAGTCAAAAGGTAATTATTTTAAATATCTATTAAGGATAAGAATAAATCTATATAATTATGAATTAAATCTGAGAGAGGTGACACATAGCCACGTGTTGGCCGCGGACGGGGTCACCTCCCTATCAATAGAAGGCGTTTCACCTGGGTGAAGAAAAAGAAAGAAAAAGAAAGAAAAGGAAGAGAAAGAAAGAAAAAAAAGAAAGAGAAAGGAATGAGAGAAATGAAGGAAAAATAATAGAAGGTGAGAGGGTTTTTGGTAGTGAAAAGAAAGAGTGGGGTATTAATGTTAAGGTGAGTTATATTATACCTTGAGTTACTATAATGTATTTTATATATGTTTTAACTTACCATATTTAATATTTTACATATGTTTTAACTTACCATATTTATTTTATGTAAGTTATGTTTTATAAACTATTATAAATTATATAAATATTTCAGTTACGTGGTTTAAATTCTAAACCCTATTTGTGAAGATGAAACTTATGGATATCTTTGTTTATATTTTAAAAAATATTTGATTATGACCTTATATACAATTATGTTTTGTAAGTACCACCACGGGAGTCCCATGCCTTGGGGGACTTAAATAACCATTAGCCTCTGTTTGACCAATTTGTGGTCCTCTGTTTGTCATGGATCCATTGACCTTTGTTCTGTGCGGAGCAAAGTGCTACACTATTGTGGGAGCCACCTCTAGAATCCGTACGAGCCACCTCTTGAATCCGTACCTCTGTTCTGACTGTCACTTCAGTGACCTATGTTCTGTTCTGTTCTGTACCGTGGTTGTGGTCATTTACTTATATAATTTTTGTATTTTAGTTTCTACCACTTAAATGATTTGTTCACCAATGATTTAGTTACATAATCTCAGTTTTGCTAATTAAAGGATTATTTGTTCAGACTAAATTATCTTAAATGTTTTGGCCTAACTAACTATCCATGGTTATTTTGTTTCCCTTATACTCTTTGTATAATATTTCTCACTCTGCCATGTGCTTACAGTTGTTTACTAATTTTCAGGAAACAATGCAATTCAGAAATGCTTTTGGGAAGTCGAGTTGCGGAATAGACACACATAACACTTTTATGATATTTTTCTATATAAATACCGGCCTTTTTAGTCAATATATTTTGTAATAAAAATAGAAGCTCCGATGATTATTTTGGTACCCTCATTTAAATATTATTTCCGCTCGCGTTTATTAATTTGTTTAAGAATTGGCCGGAGGTAACCCCAGTTACTGGCCATTATGATGTTTAACCCTTGGGTACGGGGAGTGGGTCGTGACAAGTGGTATCAGAGCAATGGTTTTTTCTAGAAAAAAAAATCATCATTGGAGCATAGGACACATGCACATTTAAGAAGTGGAATAGCGGGTAATTAGTACCTAAATAATATGTTTTGTTAATCGATTTAATTATATTATAATTTTATATGATTATATATATATAATAATTTTTTTTTTAGTGTGCCTAATTTGTGAAGGATATTAGATATAATTTATAGAAGGACAAGAAAAGAAGGATGTCTGGCTAAAGCACCTACCAAAATTATAATATAATTAAATACATATAATTTTCAGTACAGTATTCAAAAAAAAATAAATTATTTTGATGTTTTTTAAAAGTGAGTTCAAATTTTAAAAATACTAATTTTAAAACTATTTCCCATCAATGAAAAGTTCATCTCAAATTTTTTTAACTTTTACATATGATTCTGTCATTGTGTTCTTATTTTATTTATTTTTATTTTTATTTATTTTTTATCGTAAACAAAACGAGTGAAAAGTTTTTAAAGTCATCCATTATTTCTTATTTTGGCCCAGACCAATCTTTGACAACTAGACAGTGAGTTGTTTTTGGTAAAAAAAATTTTTAGGTAATATTTTCTATCAAATTAATTATCTAATGTATATTTATTAAAGTGCGCAGCGAATAGTTTACATATATGACAAATTTCGAGGACGAAATTTTAAAAGGAGGGAAGATTGTAACCAACTCAAATTTTAATTATTCTGTAGAATTTATACTAATATTATTTAATTATAGTTAAATATATAATTATTAAAAGTTTAGGGTCACATAATAATAATAAATAATAATAATAATATAGTGTGTGGTACTAAAATAAATAAATAATTTTCTGTTAATATACGATAAAGTGTGTAATTTAATTAAGAATTAATTAATTAATATAATTATATTAAAATACTGGAAAGAAAATATTATCTTAAATATTTATTAAAATAAAAATAAATCTATATAATTATGAATTAATTTTAAAAAAAGTGACGCATAACCCATGTTCGCCGCGGACGGGGCTCACCTCCCTATTTATAGGGAGGCGTTTCACCTGGGTGAAGAAAAAGAAAGAAAAGGAAGAGAAAGAAGGAAAGAGGGAAGGAGAGAAAGTGTGGAAAAATAATAGAAGTTGAGAAGGTTTTTGGTAGTGAAAAAAAAGAGTGAGGTATTAATGTTAAGGTGAATTATATTATATTTTAAGTCACCAAAATGTATTTTATGTATATTTTGACTTATCATATTTATTTTATATAAGTTATATTTTATAAACTATTATAAATTATATAAATATTTCAGTTACGTGGTTTAAATTCTAAACCCTATTTGTGAAGATGAAATCCATGGATATCTTTATTTATATTTTAAAAAATATTTGATTATGACCTTATATACAATTATGTTTTGTAAGTACCACCACGGGAGTCTCATGCCTTGGGGGACTTAAATAACCATTGGCATCTGTTTGACCACTTTGTGGTCCTCTGTTTGTCATGGATCCATTGACCTCTGTTCTGTGCGGAGCAAAGTGCTGTGTGGAACTAAGTGCTACACTATTGTGGGAGCCACCTCTAGAATCCGTACGAGCCACCTCTTGAATCCATACCTCTATTTTGACTGTCACTTCAGTAACCTCTGTTCTGTTCTATTCTGTACTGTTGTTATAGTCATTTACTTATATAATTTATATATTTTAGTTTCTGCCACTTAAATGATTTGTTTACCAATGATTTATTTACATAATCTCAGTTTTGCTAATTAAAGGATTATTTGTTCAGACTAAATTATCTTAAATGTTTTGACCTAACTAACTATCCATGGTTATTTCGTGTTCCTTATATTCTTGGTATAATATTTCTCACTCTGCCATGTGCTTACAGTTGTTTACCAATTTTCAGGAAACAATGCAATTCAGAAATGCTTTTGGGAAGTCGAGTTGCGGAATAGACACACACAGCACTTTTTATGATATTTTTCTATGTAAATACCGGCCTTTTTGGCCAATATATTTTGTAATAAAAATAGAAGCTCTGATGATTATTTTGGTACCCTCATTTAAATATTATTTCCGCTCGCGTTTATTAATTTGTTTAAGAATTAGCCGGAGGTAACCCCAGTTACTGGCCATCACGATACTTAACCATTGGGTACGGGGAGCGGGTCGTGACAAAATCAAAATTGTTATTGCAATTGTTGAGTTGATTTTAACATTAACATTGCCTTTCAGTCTTTTAAATCAAGTTGTTTTGTTGTAGTTTGGGTTGTTGGGACTTCGGTGTTCCATTGAGAGTCATATTTGAATTTCAGGAACGAAATTTCCTGAGGCGTGGAGGTTGTGATGCCCAGGTACATAACCCGTCTTGTTTCCCTTTAATTATTTTACACGTGTTGGGAGTGTCGGGAACTAATCTAAGGCTTCATCGACCACTTAGGTACATCGCTCTCGAAACATTTCTCAAATTTATATTTCCATTTCTTTTTGTTGCGGGGTTGAGTTTCCTTGTTTTGGAAGTGTAGTTGGAGTCGAGGTGTCATGGGCTTGCAAAGCGTACAAATCGGGAGAGGGAGCAAAACCGCACGTGCAGGGGCTTGGGCCCTGGGGCCACACATGTAGGAAGTGCGGCGACACGTGCGGTAAGGGTGTGTCTTCGAAGTTGGGTACTGAAATAATTACACGACCGGAGGGCACGTATAGGAGGCTTGTCGCACGTGCGGAAGTGGACACCACGCGTGCGGCGAAGTGAGGTGTTTTGGGCAGTCCTTTTTAAAATAATTGCACGTGCGGGGATGGTACTGCACTTGCGGGAAACGCTGAGTCTGTATATTTTTTTTTCTTTTTCTTCTCCTTAGGCTGAGTGTATCTCACACTTTTTCTCATCTCTCTCTCTAAAATACATTTCTCTTCATTCTTTCTACATTTACTCTCACCAAACTCTAATCAATCCTTGATTTCTCTCAATCCATTAAGGAGTTGACCCGAGTGCCTTAAGCAAAGTTAGAGAGCTCACCAAGGACTACATTGTGTGTGGTGGAAATTGGATTTCCACACCACTAATTTTGGAGTTTTTCTTATCTTTTCTCTCCAAGTCTTGAGATAGAGAGTTTCTTTGAGTTATATATATATATATATATTAGCATGCCTTGTTCAGTTTTGTTATGATTTTGAGT